GGTGACGTCGCTGGTAATACACCTTGGGGAACAACTCTCCGTTCCCAGGGTCCGAATTTCGCTTGCTGGCGGGCCCATTTGGGCTAAATGTCACCCTGGAGGGGTGGTCACCGAGGGATGAACTTTTGAGAAACGGGAGCCGGTGGTAGCCGGCTCTCTGAACTCAAAACAGCCCCTGGAACCGGCAAGAGAAAGACGGAGAGCTTCCACGTTTACCCCCTTCATCAGTGTCGGAGGCAGAAGACAGCTGATCGGGAAAACAACAACCAATCCGGGTGAGAAAATGTTGGCGATTGCTGCAAAGTGGCCTCTTTTGAAATAATTTGCGTACCTTTGAGCTAAAACTGGAAGTTTGAGAAAGGGAGGAGGAGGGACTTTTATTCCTTCCTCCTGTAAAGCGGCGGTTTATGCGTTACTGTAAAACTTTTGAATCTGTTGGTTTGAAATTAAACTGAAGGAGTTATTCTGTTCTACTATAGAAGGAAAGCAAGATATTTTTTTAAATATTTTAACTGGAAAAGCCACCTTAGCTGCTTTATTTTAGAATTTACTTCTGTATATTTTTTTTGACTTTTTTTCACTTATGCTATTTAAACAGTGGGGAAAAGAGACAGCGTTCCATGGTGGTTACATTTTAACTTTCTCTTTTTGTTTTCTTTTTTTTGTTAACCTTGGGTATTCAGCTGCAGAGTTTTGGCTCAATGCCCAGACACTTGGCTATGTGCCCAGACATTTTTTTTTATTGAAAAGTTTTATACAAGTTTTTAACAATATCCCCCCCTAAAATAACCCCCTCCCTCCCCCCCTCACTTCCCAGAGCTGGTTACAGGGTTACAAATAAACAAATTCTAAATACACTTATCCAACTATACAAATAACAAAATCAATAATGTACTTTAACTCGACTTCCGGTGGCTGCACCGTGACGATGGCGGCTTTCTGATAGCCGTCCATCACAGGAAAGCGTAAAAACCGGCAAAACAGCGTTGATCAGCTGTTTTGCGGCTTGAAACCTCCCTCCCAGGCGAAGGGAGAAAGGTGAGCTTTCGCCTGGATAGAGGTAGAGCCTCACCAGTCTCCCAGAGTTCTTTTCCTGGGAGACAAACAGTGAGAGCTCCCTCGGAGTCTGGGTGTTGCTCCGTTTCCCTGGACGCTTTTGTTCTCCGGCAGGAGAAATGAAGCTAGACGTTGCCTCCACTGCTGCTGCTTAAATGAAAAAAGAGCGTTGTCTTACCTGAACGCTTTTTCTCATCAGGATGGTGTAGAATCCACTCATTGGGTAATTTAATCCCTCCTGCTCAGAGTAAGAACAAAAAAACTTTGCCATGCCTCCTTCTGGGTGTGACTTCCCAGTTTTTTCGAGGCGATGTATCCAGACGCAAGGCTCCAAACAAAAACATGCATGCCTAGACTAACACTAACAGGGTGGGTGTGGATTCTACACCATCCTGATGAGAAAAAGCGTTCAGGTAAGACAACACTCTTTTCTCCATCAGAATGGATGTAGAATCCACTCATTGGGACATACCAAAGCTGCTCATGTCCCCACAGGGAGGGAAGTCTAGGCTTGTGTCCATTGAGAACCAACCACCCGCTGTAGGACTCTCCTTCCGAAAGCAGCCTCCGCTGCTGCAAACTGATCTATTCTGTAATGTTTTATGAATGAGGAGGGAGAGGACCATGTCGCTGCCCTGCAAATCTCCTCAAGTGATGCCTGGGCAGACCAGGCCGCCAAGGCAGCAGCACTACGTGTAGAGTGAGCTATAATATGTGAAGGGACTGGAAGGGACTGAGAAATATAAGCTCTGGAAATACACGCCCTAATCCACCGACCAATAGTAGAGGAAGAGACCTTCCGACCCATGGTAGAGGGCTGAAAGGACACGAATAATGGCTCAGATTTCCTGAAGACCGAGGTTCGTTTAATGTAATGGCGCAGGGCCCTGCGCACGTCCAAGGTATGCCACCGTCTTTCCAGATGGTGGGAAGGGTTGGGACAGAAGTTAGGAAGGACTAGGTCCTGAGAACGATGAAACCCTGTATTGACCTTAGGAATGAATGCAGGATCCAGCCTGAGGACCACTCTGTCCTCATGGAATGTGCATAAGTCCTCCCTGACCGATAAGGCAGCCAATTCTGAAATTCTCCTGGCTGACGTGATGGCCACTAGGAAGGCCACCTTCAGTGTAAGGAAGTGAAAGGAGCAAGTGCTCAGAGGTTCGAATGGAGGAGAAACTAAGGCCTGTAACACCCTGGACAGGTCCCAGGATGGGTAACGATGAACCGTAGGTGTCCCTACGTTGGCCGTGCCCTTGAGAAAGGCACTAACTGTTGGATGTTGAGACAGGGAAACTTGGTTGTCACAGGTGAGGACCGTCGACAAGGCAGCTAACTGCCGACATATGATACTGGTTGAGAGACCTCTAGCTAACCCCTCAAGTAAGAAGTCCAATTTGTCTGGAATGGTGACAGCAAGCAGCAAAAGTCGCTTTTTGGTACACCAAGAGCAGAAACCTCTCCAAGTGGCGTCATAGATCCTGTTGGTCGAGGGACGCCGCAAGGCCTGGATGACAGAGATAACCCCAGAGGAGTTTGGCTAGACTCTCCCGCTCAAGTTCCAAGCAGCTAATTGAAGCCACTGCGGGTCCGGATGATGGAGGTTCCCCTGGCTGAGAGCAACTCGGTCCAGAGGAATCTTCCATGGTGGTGAGAGTGACAGGTCCACCAGGTCGGCAAACCACGGGCGTCTTGGTCAATATGGAGCAACTAAGATCAGCTCCGCCTGCTCCTGGAGGAGCTTGCGGATAGTTGCTTGTAGTAGCGGAAGAGGAGGGAAGGCATAAAGTATGCCCTCCGGCCATCTGCTCCGGAGAGCGTCCGTTCCCTCTGCCCCCCTCGATGGGAACCGGGAAAAGAACCTGGGGAGCTGAGCGTTATTTGGGGAGGCGAAGAGATATAAGATGGGCTGCCTGAACCTGTGTGATATTTCCCTGAACAGACCTGAGTCCAGTTTCCACTCTGAGTGATCCACTGTGGCCTTGCTCAGGGAGTCTGCCTGTTGATTCGCCTCCCCCGAGATGTGTTCCGCTCTGATGGAACTCAGAATGAACTCTGCCCAAAGTCCTATGGCCAGGGCTTCCTGCATGAGTGACCAAGAGTGGGTCCCCCCTTGTTTGTTTACGTGAGCCTTGGCCGCAATGTTGTCTGTCAGGACCAACACGTGTTTCCCTGACACAAGGGGAGAAAACCTTTGGAGAGCCAGGTGGATGGCCCTGAGCTCCAGCCAATTTATGTTGTGTGTCAGGTCCGAACTGGACCACTGACCCTGAGCTATGTGGCTCTGAAGATGTGCCCCCCCCAACCGAACAGACTGGCGTCTGTAGTCAGGGTAATTCTGGGAGGTTCCTTGAAAAGGGTACCTTTGTTCAAGGCGGATGAAGTCCACCATAGAAGGGAGGTCAGAGTGTGATGGGGAACCCTGACTTTCCTGTTGGAGGCACTGACTTTCCGTCTTTGAAAGGGAAGGAGGAACCACTGGAGGTTCCTGGAGTGCAGTCTGGCCCATGGAACGATGCCCAAGCAAGAAACCATCTTCCCCAGGAGTTGGGATAGTTGTACCAGTGGTACCCTCTTTTCCCTTCGGATCTGCTGAGCCAGCTTCCGAATGCTGACTTGACGCTCCTGGGAGAGATATACCTTGCATAGGCTGGAATCTATCAATGCTCCCAGATGGAGCAGGCGTCTTGTGGGGGTAGTGTGACTCTTTTTGAAATTCACGGAAAACCCGTGATCCTGAAGTGTTTGAATTGTGATTGCCAGATCCGACTGACCTGATTGGAAAGATTTGGACTGTATCAGTATGTCGTCTAGGTAGCACTGTACCCGTACGGGCTTCATCCTTAGATGAGCCGCCAGCACGGCCAAGACTTTTGTAAAGACCCTCGGGGCAGATGATAGGCCGAACGGGAGGGCCCAGTACTGGTAATGATTGCATGCGTAACAGAACCGCAGGAACTTGCGGTGTTCCTGTATGATCAGAATGTGTAGATAAGCCTCTGTCAGGTCGATGGAAGAAAGGAAATCCCCCTTCCTGATACTTGCCAAGATGGACTTTAGGGTCTGCATCTTGAATTTCCTGTAAGTGAGGAAGTAATTTAGACCTTTTAGGTCCAGTATCGCCCTCCAACCGCTTGAGGCTTTGGGAACTACAAACAGGATGGAGTAGAACCCTTCCCCGATCTGGTCCTGAGGAACCCTTTCTATGGCTCTGATCTCTAATAAATGTGCGATGGCTGTCGTGACTAGTTGTGCTTTTGAAGTATTGTTTGAAACCGGGCACTGTATGAAATGATCTGGGGGAGAAGATCGAAACTCTAGGGAGAGACCCCTTCTTATTGTCTCCCCTGACCCAAGCGTCCGTGGTTGTGCTCTCCCAGATGTCGTAAAACAGTGCCAGTCGATCCCCAATGGGGTAATCCTCCTTGGCATCACTTGGACCGCCTGTAAGGACGACTGCCCAATCCCCTGAAGGGGTGCTTGGTCTGGGACTGACCCCTGGCTCCACTAAACTGGCGGTCCTGTTGGCGATCCTGTCTGAAAGAATAGGATCGCGAGCCTCTGGGCCAATCCCAGGACTGCCCTGCCCGAAAGGGCTGTCTCCAGTCCCAGGAGCTACTGGGACGGAATGCTGGCCTACGATAATCCTGCTGGGGCCGTCTATCCAATTTTTGGGAGGGATGGGCCATCATCGTGCGCTTGTCCTTGCCTTCAATAGTGTGAGGCTCTAGGACTGGGCCGAAAAGGTGGGTGCCACTGTACTTAGATGTTGCTAGGCGCCACTTTGCCTTTAAATCAGTGCACCATTGCTTCAACCAGAGCAACCTGCGTGAAGCCACTGAGGCAGCAATAGATCTGGCCGAACATCTGGCTGAGTGCAAGGAAGCGTCTGCAATATATTCGGATGCTGCCACGACTTTGCCTATTGCTTGGTGTGCTCTGACCTGATCCGGCGGAATGAGCGCCTGGAGTTCCTGCATCCACATGATCGCTGAACGTGCAAAGAAGGAGGAAGAGGTTGCCGCCCTTATGGCCCAAGCTGAAGATTGGTGAGCTCTACGAAAGGAGAACTCGAACTTTTTGTCCTCAGCCTTCAAGAATTCAGCCATGTCCCCGGGAACTGCTGTATTGGAGAACAGAGAAGTCAGCGGAACATCCACAGATGGAACTTCTAGAAGAGAAGCGAAGGAAAAAGAGACATTGTAAAGTTTCTTGTCCAAACTGCTCTGGGAAGGCGTGGTAGCTAGTGAAGCCCACTGCTTTTCCACCGTAGTCTTGAAGACTAGTGGACATGGGATCTGCGGGTCCTCCTTGACCTTTTCCGCAAACAAGGGGTTTGCTTTCTGGTTGGCCGAGGAAGATGGTGCCTCCTCCTGGGCCGAGGTAAGTTTTACCGTGTCAATGGCCTTTATGAGGAGAGACCGAAAAACGGACGGATCAAAGAGACCGGAAGAGGTCACCTGCTCAGGTGTTGGTTCCTCCTCCTCAGACAAAGGAGTGTCTGCTACCCCTAGCTCCACTGAACCCTCCTCCCCTAATTGTGAGGAGGTTTCCGAAACATCGGAGCTAGGTCTAGTGCCACGCTCCGCCTGAGGTGGGGGAATGGAAGTGGGAAAAGTAGGATGCGACTGCACCTGTCTGCCTTCAGTGGGTGACATAAACTGCCTGAATGCATGGTGCATAAAGGCCTGGAATTGAGCCTGGGACCACATTTCCCCTTGGTCCCTGGAGCTGGCCCCAACCTCCGTTGAGGCACGCCTGCTCTCAGTTGTATGGTGTGACAGAGAAGGGGAGGAACGAGGAGGACCAACCTGCTCAGTTTCCCCCTGAGGAGAACAAGGCCTTGGGGCATCCTGCGATGATTCAAATTGAGGTTCCGACAAAGGGGCGTCCAGTGGGGCGGGGGAAACCATTTCAGCCCCACTGGACCTGAGCCTTTGTGCTTTGGAGAATTCTCTCTCCAGTGCTAGGTGTCTCCTTGTGGCCTCTCGCCCGGCTGACTTGGAGGTATCTTTAGAAGACAAATGTTTGGTTTTAGCTTTTTTCTCCCCCCCGCACGTCCAATTCCTCTGATCTGCGCTTTCTTGTGCGGGGGCGGCGGCACTGGTCTGAGATGCCTGGGGCGAGGAACTGTCTGCCGTTGCAATCTAGGTACTCCTAGGCAGTTGTACCTAGATCTGGGAGGAACCAACACGCAGATCACAGTCAGAGATGGAAAACCGATCCTCGCTCTGAACAGAAGGCAATGGCAAGAGCAGCCAGACAGTGTTCTAATGCTGTCTGCGCAGGCCCTGTGACAAAAGGTCACTGACTAACTGAGAACAGGTGGTCGAAAAAGAAGATCTCTTCGCCCTCCTTTTCTAGGCCTTAAGCCCAGAAAATAACACCTTGGCCTGCTCAAATGCAGCCAAGGCCCACACCTGGGGCAGCCCCCACAAGCTGCACCACAAGCACTGTGGTACACAAATATCTTTCCCCCCCCCCCCCGAACGGGTCTGCTCACAGACCAGGGCACTCAGGCAACAAATTCAAATCTGCGATAATGCAGGAATAACTGCAAATGATGTTGTAAATAAATTTAATTAGGCCTCCAAAATGGTGTCCGCCACGTGGGCCCTCTTAGTAACAGCCGCGCTAAGCCATGTGGTCAAAATGGCGGCCGCTAGGCCTGAAAACCCTTGGAGAAGCAAGGAGGGAAAACCCTGGGGTCTGTTTAAAAGGAAAATCTGTAAAACAAAAAAAAAGGCTTGACTTTTTTGTTTCCTCCCCTCCCCCAGGTCCCCAAGCACTTGCGATTAGTAGCAGCTGCGATCCGGAGTCAGGAAAAGTCTCCCTCGAGGTCTCGAGGTGAGAAATAGTGCTCCGGAGGCCTCCGTGCAGGCAAAACAATCTCCTTGTCTGGCTGATTGATGGGATTGCAAAGAGGCTATAGATCGTCGAAGGGAGCTCCCTTCCAAACGAAAGCCTGCAGCTTCCCCTTTTTCAAAGCTCAAAGGGCTGCAGAGAAGCAAGGACAGAGTCCTTATCCCCCCACACAATCTCCAAGAACTTCTGAGTTGTGAAGCAAAAGCCAGTTAGATCAATTTTGAATTTAAGAGTAGCCAAATTCAACGATAAATCCAAAAAAAAAACAATTAGAGAAGCAAGCTAGCTGAGGAGCCTTTTCCAAAACGCGTGTAGCTGAGCTCGAGACTAAGAAAAAACTGGGAAGTCACACCCAGAAGGAGGCGTGGCAAAGTTTTTTTGTTCTTAGTCTGAGCAGGAGGGATTAAATTACCCAATGAGTGGATTCTACATCCATTCTGATGGAGAACAGTAAGTCAACTTAAAAGCAGACAGAGCAGTCAGGAAGAGAAGAATTGGATGATTTTATTTTAAACTTAATTCAGTGTGAATTAACATCTTCTCCTGTTATTATTTCAATTGGAGTGAAGAAATATGGCGGAGGAATCCTGCTTCTTTGTTACTTTCTTTGTCTGAGAACTTTCACTTTTCATTCACTATCTCTAACTGGCAACAAAGTTTCAACAATGTAATAGACTTGGTTTACTTAAAGAAAATCTTTCCTTTTAAAGGGGAAATTGCTTTTTCTTCTCCTTTATTCTTACTTTATTATTTTTTGAAAAAAGAAATGAATTTTTTTTTTTAAAAAAAAATGGCTTCAAAAAGTCCTGGACCTTTTTCTCTTCCTAAAACTTCAACTTCCTCTCCAGTAACTCAGACTGTACAACAACCTAAACCTAAATCTTCCCCACCTTCTCCTCCACCTCAGGTAATTACACTTAAGGATTTACAAGATGCTTTAGATAAGACTCTAGAAAAAACAGCAGAGCTCCTGGCTCAAAAAAATAATGAGCTGAGGGAAGATATTGTGTTTGCACTCCAAGGCCTTGCTGGCCTTATGGAAAAGATTGACGACAGGGTGGATGAGGTGGTTGGTAATGTTGAAATATTACAAGTTAGAGTTGAAAAAATAGAAGATAATGTGGATGTTGCACAGAATGAAATTATAATGTCACAATATAGAGAAATGGAGTATGCTTTGAGAATAAGAGGTTTGAAGGAAAATGTTCAGGAGAATTTGAAAGACGAAATTGCAGCAGAACTGGCTTCCATTTTGGAATATGACCCTGAAGTAATGTTGAGAGATATAAAAAAGATCTTCAGAGTTAATTCGTGGGTTGCAAAACAGAGAAAATTACCAAGAGATGTGGTGGTTTACTTTGCGAGAAAATCTCTTCGTAATGAAATTATACAGGCCTTCTATAAGCAAAGATTTCAGATTGCAGATCAGGATGTGATAATTTTAAAGGAAATACCTTCCAAAATTCTCAGAAAAATAAAAGACTTTGCTTTTTTGGCTGAAGAACTTAAGAAACAACAAATTCAATTTAGATGGGATATACCTGTGGGGATAGTGGTGACTTACGTTGGCACACGATATCGTCTTAATACAATTTCAAAAGCAAGAGATTTCTATGTTACTATTTTAAAAGGAAGTCTACCACCATCTCCAAGATCAAAAAAAAAGAGAGAGCAAGGCAGAAACACAGTTGGCTGTAGGTTCAGTGCCATCTTTGGGAGAAGAATTATTGGTTGAATCTATGCAACAGAATTTGCAAATAACGGAAGACCCAAGGGAACAGAGAATTACACGTGCTACTCATAAACGTAGAGAAAGACAACAACAACAGCAACAACAAGAAAAGGTAGATGATGGAGTTTCATCACAGTCTACTTCGGAGCCAGTGGGAGGAGCAAGGCCAAAAAGGTCACTGACTGCAAATCTAGAGATTTTGTTCCAAAGGCTTCAACCTGCCAAGAATGGCAAAGCTTCTAACTTGGAATGTTAATGGTCTTAATTCACCACAGAAAAGAAAGAAAATCTTTCATTATTTGAAACAACACAGAAATGATATTATTTGTTTACAAGAGACTCATATTATTTCTAAAGATCAAAAATATTTGTTTAACCCCCGGCTGGGGGTACATTTCATAGCTCCTGCTTTGTAGAAAAAAGGAGATGTAGTTATTTATGTGAGAAAGGAGCTTTCACCGAAGCTAATTGATTTTGATCCACAAGGAAGATATGTTATTATTGATTTATTAATCAACGATAAGAGAACTCTTCTTGTCGGATTATATGCTCCCAATCAACAACAAAAATATTTTTTACAAGATGATTCACCAGAAATTAACTTCTTTGGATTACAAGTCAGTTATTATGATGGGAGATTGGAATGGTGTTCTAGATTCAAATAAAGATAAGAAGGGTTCTTCTAAAGTTTCTAATCATGCAAGACTTCCTAAAGCCTTTTTTGATTTAAAGGACGATTTGGAACTTAGACACATTTGGAGAGAACGGAACATTAAGGAAAAAGATTTTACCTTTTTTTCAGATAGGCACCAATCTTATTCTAGAATTGACTTCTTTTTGGTTACTAATGATTTCCTTTCTAGGGTGAAGAATACCAAGATATTTCCTAGAATAATTTCAGATCATAGTCCTGTATGGTTGGAAATTTCATTGGAAGAAAGGACTAGAAGGTCTTGGAGGTTGAACGAGAAATTATTTAGATATGAAGAGAATACACAGAGATGTAGAGGTTATTTAAAGGAATTTTTTGTTTGGAACATGAATAAGGGTACCTCGATGCCAATGGTATGGGATTCTAGCAAAGCATATATGAGAGGGATTTTGATTTCTATGAATAATGCTCATAGGCGTAAACAGATTCAGAAACGTAAAGATCTTGAAGATGAGATTAAATGTAAGGAAAAGATTTTAATATCAAACCCAATGGATAATAATTTAAAGGTTTCTATTACTCTGCTTAAGGAGCAATTTAACATGTTAATAGCGGATCAGATGGCAACTAATTTGAGGTATATGAAACATAATACATTTTGTAATGCAAATAAACCTGGCAGATGGTTGGCTTATCAATTACATAAGAAACAGAAATCGAGGATTATAGATAAAATAATTTATAAAGGTAAAGAAGTTTATCAACAAAATTTGATTAAAAAGTCTTCTTTAGATTTTTATTCAAAGTTATATGCTAGTGAAATTATACAAACTTCAGACATAGAAAAATATTTACAGGAAGCACATTTTCCTAGACTTACGAGTGACCAACGTGATGGGATTAATGGTTTAATTACCTCTGA